AGGCGGCCAGACCGCTTTCTAGGGACAATGGATAGAGTCACGAACACTGCATACGAACAACACGCCGCGATTCTCAGAATTCATATCACCTCCCCTCACAGAGACTTGGGACAAACTCCCTCTCTCGCCTAGCTTGTAACCCCCTACTACGAGCACCCCGGTGCAAGGAATACAAGAACATCTTCTCAGACTGAACGTAGGGCATCCATTGCCCGAACCAGTATAAACCTTGTGTCTCTTTGCATCACCATCTGGAATTAGGAGCACACAGCACAAATTCACTAGTCGGTTAAGGACCCCCGGTTCCGAAACACCGACAGCTAGTGTGTTGCTATCTCTACCGCAAAAGGAGTAATACAATCAATGTAAATGCGGAAGCTAAAGAGCAAGGTAGAGATATGCAAACTCCCGTCGACGACTCCGGTATTTTTACTGAGGTATCGAGAAGCGCGCAAGCTTCCCCCGTTGGAGCCCCTCGCAAGGAATCCCTCGCAAGGGCTAAGCTCCCGGTCGGGTAACTCCGTGGATAGCCTCGGGCCTTCCCCACGCGCAAGTGGGTCTCCGTCGTGCCTTCCGGCAAGCCTCTCCCGGATGCTCCCCGCCATCTTCACTATCAAGTTTCCGGCCGAAACGCCGCGGGCCTTATTCCCTCCGGTACACGGTGGCGGCCACACCACAAACGCGGTTGGCGTGATCTCGCAAGACTACAAGCCCCTCCGATATACAACAATGGTGCGCGCAAGCACCGAGTGGTAAGAGATATGCAAACCTCACTAAACACTAGGCCTAAACCTAGAGCAAACGCATAAGCGGTGGTCTAATCAACCTAAGCACTTCGTAAAAGCACCTACGCTAATCACCTAATAAAACATAAAGTACTATACAAGTGGAGATCACTAAAATGGTGTATCAACACCCTTGATATGTTTCCTTAGCTCCACTCTATTGATCGGATGCTGCCAGCGTCCGGTCACATGCCACCGGACGCGTCTGGTTGCATTTTCGCCACTCTAGAACCTCTCTGTACTCGACCGGACTCTGCTGTCCTGCGTCTGGTCGGTTTAGCCACCAGCATCCAGTCCAGCATCCGATCGCTGCTGCTGACGCCTGTTTGCCGAGCCTCTTGATCGGAGCATCTGGTCCAGCGTCCGGTCGCTTCTGCCAGCGTCCGGTCCAGCGTCCGGTTGCTTCTGTGAGCTCGTTTCTTCGCGATCTTGCGTACGGCTTGGTTCTATCTTTGTGCTTGGACTTTACTTGATATCTTGGATCTTCTCTTGTACTTCTAAGGTCTTGCTTATGGTGTTGATCATCGGATCATCACGATGCCTTCGTCCAAGTCACATCTTGCATCCTATTGAACTACAAAACAATCACTTGCAAATTCATTAATCCAATTTAATTGTGTTGATCATCAAACACCAAAATCTAAAGTAAATGGGCCAATGGTCCATTTTCCTTACACCGCGCTCATTCTTCTTCGAGGAAACACCGTCGCCCTGATCTCCATCATCAAGGTCTAGGACCTTTCATCGCTGGGCTGGCCACCACCCCAGCCCCAGCGCCCCCGCTCCTAGTATCCCAGCTCGACCCGTCCAAGCTGTGCAAGTGCCTATGGGTGATTAGCTCCGAGGATAGGGTACTTCGCTACAGCAAGGTTACATGGGGGCACTGTATTACTTCTGCCGTGGGTTTATGATGGTGGCTCAGAGGAATTGTTGATCTTGCAAAATGCTTGATGAAATGCAGTTAAGATTGTTTTGCACACATAAATTGATTTTAGGTTTATCATGCATTTGGGAACCATCTTACTGATTGAGTCATTGGGGATTACATCCTAGAGAAATCCAACGTTTACAAAATAGTGGTTTATTGCTTTGCAGCAGAGATGTATCATATCCATTTTTCAATTCAGATGAGTTAGTATCACCTCTTTAAATTATCGTTGTGTCGAGTTTCCATGTAAGCTAAGAATTATAGTCTATACAACTGCCCAGCTTCCATTGGAAAAAAATCTATTATGTATATAAATGGTTGGCTACATCAGAGAGGCTACATTTTGAAACATGGTTCTTTATTCCTTGCATTTCAAACATAGTTGCCCCATTTGGTGTCCTTGGACAGACCAAGTTCATTCAGTTTGTTCATTGCTCGATTCTATTAACAGTGGAGTTGTACATATGAGCCTATCTACAACCTGTTCGGGAGGCCGTATCGTATCGTGGATTATTTACTGCTGGCTGTTTTGGTGTGAGAGAAAAAACACTGTTCCCGGCTGGAAATTTACGATCGTTTACGAGCAAGCGAACAGGCTGTTGTTCTGGCATATGAAAATCAGCTTTGATTTCTCAAACATAGGATGCATGAATTCTACCATCAGGACCCGATTTAGTCAATTTTTTTGTGTAGTAGTTTAAATTACCTTTGATTTGCTGCAAATAATCCTTTGTGGACCTGTAAATTTCTTCTCAGGAAAGCAAAGCATTATGTATTGACTAACCTCACCTGATATGCTTAATCCTACAACAAAGAGGCACATGCCTATGTTTTTAGATATGTGCATTTTCTGCCTATGTTGTGATTGTTTCAATATCATTAATTGCCCTTTTTTATCTGAAATAGTAAAAGTGCAATGCTGATATCAATATATCATCACCAGATGGCTAAGATAGACTTTTAGTTGGTCATGGGCTAGATGCCTTGTAATCTACTTTGCCTTCAGTAGAGTTTCTTTGTTTGTACAGTAGTCTTCTCCCCCCCTCCCCCACCCACCGCCACGTAAGTATCTCTCCAAACTTTTGTTGCTGCTTTGTTTATAAAAGTTTTTCACCGTGGGGAACTCCCCCACGGTTTTTGCGTCAAAAAAAAATATCATCACCAAAAGACTTTAAAAGACAAGGAAAATTTACAGGCTATTTATCATGTGCCTTCAGATTAATATCCATTGCCTTTATATTAGTATCCATTGCCTTCAGATTTCACCAAGGGGGACGATTCAAATTTGCTTTCTTTACCTGCGCTACCCACGTTCAGAAAGTCATCTACACCGCCAGGGCCCACAGGCAAGGTAAAGTTTCCCGTGTACTTGTGTAATTTCTTAGCTTCATGGACAATTTATATGTTCGAGAATGCACTACTCCTCTGTCCATACGAACATGATTTAAAAAAACAGAGCCATCTACCGTCCAGACTTCCAGAGTCAGCATATCTATTCAGAACTTTAGCTTACACAATCCACTCCATACGTGTATATCTGTGAATTAATTTGTTTGTTTCGGACGACTTTAATAGTTTTCATAGTCTTTGGTACATCCTTTGTTAGTCGTCGTTGGCAGTGCTCTCCGAACATCTGAATGCCAACAATCTGAAATTGACTCATCTTCCCTGTAGTATTCAAGTTGCTTCTCCAGCTTTCATTTTTTTTGAGGCCTCCATTTTTTCTATCAAAATCCAGTTAGGAGCAAGTAACGCTATGCAAATATTTTTTTTATGGTAGACAGAAACATGCATGACCGAGACGAATATCTTCAGATAAAAAATATGCAAAATTGATTGCAATAAGTCTTCTTTGCTGAAATTGATTTTAATCCAAAGTTGTGATCACTGTCAAATTAGTAGTTGTTAATATACCTCAGATGCATCATACGTGATACATATTTTTCAGGATAATCAATAGTACTTTAACTTTAATAATTAACAAACAACAAATATGCAGGATACTTCTAACTACGGCTTGAGCCATCTGCATGCTTCAGCTGCAAGAAGTCAGACGCCGCATCTTGGACTTAAAAATCTTCTGGATCATCTTTGATTGACAACCAGCTGCAACATGGTGTCCATGCAAAGCACGTTTTCCTGATCGAACTATTGATAGATTAGATTCTTAATTGTACAATATATTGTAAAATATGTATTGTGAAACACAAACTTGTTGGTCCCGTTCCGTTTGCTGAATCTTAGCTGAAACTGGCTGAAAACACTGTTCTGGCTGAATTGTTGTGAGAGAAAAACACTCTTCCGTCTGAAAAAAACAAGGCGAATATAGCGTAAGCCGAACGGGACCATTATGATTAAAGTGAATGCTCTCCTGTGTTGCATATATAGCTAGAGAATAATAAAATGATCATTTATGTTCTATGTGATTTTGAGTCATATATTCCTTGTTAAACTTTTGTTTCAAGAACTATGTCGTGTAACACGTTTATCAGCATGTTCGGCTGGAGCGTCTGGCTGGCTGGTGCTGGCCAGCTCTCTCACGAGGGCACTGTTCACGTGAATAGTGTTTTCAGCTAGGAACAGTTTTTTTTCTCTCACACAAACCAGCCAACAGTACTTTCTCACGAACCAGCAACGAACAAGTCAACCGTTCCAAACAAGCTGTATATTTATTCGAATATTATATTTAGGTTTGTATATACGACCGCTTGTGCATGGCGTTCAGATGAACGCTTGATGGCTAATCAATTATGTGTGAGATATTAACAAATGAAGCGCTCAGGCAATCACCATCGCTCGCAGTCATGAAGTGATGCGATAGGTTCTTACGTTATGGATAATTGAAGTTGATGTTTCAGTTTTACATTCAAATTTAGAGTTATATTTTAACTATTTATCTTTCTTAAAGACTTATGTTATATTGATTGGAACATCACGATAGCAATATTTATTTTTGGTAACAAAATAACACACGCTCATACATATATTATTGTGGTATTATATATTCCCGTTGCGGCCCACACATTTACCTGGTGGTTTAAAAGCTGTAGCTTCAGGAATCACTGCTCCCATCACTGCTTCAGGAATCAGGATCACAGAAGAACCAACGCCAGGGACAGCAAAGCGTTGGAGGCCCACGTGCCCTGCGCGGTTAACCCGGCGGCTGTCGCGGGCCCGGCCCAAATAAAACTGAGCTCCCGTTTTCTTCGCTTCCGCCCCACCTGCTCGAGACCACTGTGACCAGTCACCACCTCTGCCCAGCGCTCGCTACTTCGCTAGTCACCACCATGGCGTCGGAATCCGAGGTCTACAGCTGGGAGCCGCACCCGCTCCACCCCGTCGGCACTGAGCCGCTGCAGGAGATCGCCGTGGACTACTGCCCGGAGGCGTGCCTGGAGGAGCGCCACGCGGGCGAGATCCACGTCACCTACGACGCCCGCGGCGGCGCGCGCTGGCGCTCCAAACGCCGGTTCCGCCCCGGCAGCGCCGTGGCCACCACGATCCGCGCGCCGGCGGGGGACACGTCGGGCCTCAACTACAACATCTACCTGTCCTCCCTGGAGGGCTCCAAAGATCAGGACGAGATCGACTTCGAGTTCCTCGGCCACGACAAGCGCGCCGTCCAGACCAACTACCACGTCGGCGGAGACGGTGGGCGGGAGAAGATCCACGCGCTCCCCTTCGACTCCTCCGACGGATTCCACCACTACGCCATCGCCTGGGACGCGGCCGCCATCGAGTGGCGCGTCGACGGCGAGCTCGTCCGCCGCGAGGAGCGGCGGGAGGGGGAGCCGTGGCCGGAGAAGCCCATGTACCTGTACGCCTCCGTGTGGGACGCCAGCTACATCGCCGACGGGGCGTGGACCGGCACGTACCACGGCCGCGACGCGCCCTACGTCTGCAGCTACAAGGACGTCAGGGTGCCCACTGGCAAGGATTTAGTGGAAGAGGAAGAGCATCAAGATGCAGATGCCGCTGATGCGCCTGCTGACGATCCTGAAGCCGACGCCGCCGCTGATGCTGCGGCGGCGGCGGAAGAAGAGAAGGACGCCGGAGCCGGTGAAGTTTAGATCTTGGTGGTGCGATGCAATGTCGTTTTGTTCCAAGTGTCGCTGCAACCAAAATGGATCTATGAATAATGGATGTGGTCTGATCAGTGAAACGAACATTTCTCATCGGCTGTATTATGTTGTTCGTTGAATAATTCAATGTGTTGTGTTATGCTTCGGTCCCTATGCTTCGGACTGAGGATTGGCTTAGAACTTCGATTTGAGGTCCGGCAAACTGGCAATAAGCTCACGTGATAATGGAAATGTCAACAATGGTTATTCAAAAATTGATTAGGAAAATCCGGCACTGCCCGACCATCAAGTTCTTCGAATGGAACAGGCTAAATAAAACGGATTTAGTAAGCAGAATGCAGCATTGTTCACAACTTCAGATTATGGCAACCGGAACCCGTGAACAAGCACGGTGATGTAAAAGAAATATCTGAGACCAATTCCGTTCAGCTTCGTAAGTTGAGCTTATAATAAAGTTGAGGCCCAATATGAAAAGAGCCCAACCTAAAAACCCGTTCGGCCCGAGTAGGCTTGCTGCCTGACGGATGCGGCTAGGCCAGTAGGCCCCATCTGCATCCCGACAACACAAGCCACAGCCACGTCTGTCTCGGCTCGACTCCGGCGAGCGCGATGGACGCAAACGTGGCGCTGGCGCTGCTCTCCTCCTGCTCGCCCTCCACTTCCGCCGCCGCCTCCTCGCTCCTCCCTCGTCGCCGCTGCCTGGCCTCCCGCCGAAGAGCAAGCTCCCGAGCCACCATCAGTAAGCTTGCCTCCCCACTCGCCCACCACTGATTAACCTCCCTGGTATTCGCGCGGATTTAATTTCTCCGCTGTGATGTGCTGCGCCGATTCAGTTTCTGTGCTGTGCTGTCTCGATTAATTCTAGACTTCTAGTAGAATCAACGAGAATTGTGGTTGAACTAGAATGGTGACTTTGCTGCTGGCGGTCGAGTGCTGAGAGACATTGGGTTGGGCCGTTTAGTACCGTTGGCTGCGTAGCTTTTATGCACGACAGATTCCAGCCCCAATTCGTGTCACCTTAGATTCAGAATGCAGGTGTCGTACTATGGAGTTTGCAGTTTTCGATTACCTTAATTGTTTGCCTGTAATTGGGTTTGTCGTGCGTCTCGCAGTGGCGGCCTTGGGCGATGACCCAATCAGGGAATGGATTCTTACAGAAGGGAAGGCCACGCAGATAAAAGGGATCAGGTCCATTGGTGGTGGCTGCATTAACTCTGTTCAGCGCTATGATACTGACGCGGGGCCCTTCTTTGTGAAGACTAATAGGTGCGCTCAAAGAAAATCGATCTTCTGAACTTATAATTGTTGCCATGAGATTGTGAATACCAATAGGTAATGATGCTTTCGGTTTTGTTTTGACAATGATGGAATTAACTACTTTTTTATGTTCCAGCCGCATTGGTCCAGAAATGTTTGAAGGGGAAGCTCTTGGTTTGAAGGCAATGTATGACACAAAGTCAATCCGTGTTCCTTTGCCATACAAGGTGAGAGAAGTGGCAGCAGATGCTGGAATATGTACAACTGCAAACGTGGAATGCAATGACATTGTTGTTGTGATACTGTTACATGACCGGTACTGTGATGCCCATACATGATGGGAGTACTCGTATAGTGACTGAAATCTTCAGTACTGGCCATTTATGCTGCGAGTTAATTAGCATACATATTTCCTTTCGTCCCACTGATGTAGAGACTGCTAATCATCTAGTAGTACCAATGTCTGCTGATGGTAGGGATGTTAGTTCACTTGTTTCAGTAGTTCTCTGCATCACTTGTTGTCTTCAACTTTAATCCTTTTTTATGCCTGTCACTAGTATAGGTTGGGTCACTACCTACCGGTGGTTCTTTCATCATCATGGAGTTTATTGAATTTGGTCCTTCAAGGGGAGATCAGGTAACTATATACCAAATACTTTTGAACTTTGATTCACCTCTCTTTCCTTTATAATTAACATAACTCTTTTTGTCAGTCAGTTTTGGGAAGGAAGCTTGCCGAAATGCATAAGGCTGCTAAATCTGATAAGGGATATGGTTTCCATGTTGAGAATACTATTGGAAGGTAGTATCGTTTGATGAAACATGGTCTTAATTCAGGTGTATCGGAAGTTGAGAACTCCTCTGTCAGTCTCCCTAATCCACCTGTTTTGTTATTGCAGCACTCCACAAATTAACACTTGGACTGATGACTGGATTGAGTTTTACTCCAAGCATAGATTGGGTTACCAGTTGGAGTTGGCATCGAGACGATACGGAGATTCCGCCATACTCGAAAAAGGTACAGTTGGAAAAAGACGAATAAGTTGGTATTTATCATTTCTCTCACGGTCTGCCATTGTTCTTAGCTAAGTTTTGCTAATAGTGTAGTAACTGATTTTTTTCTATTTTTTTTGCATAAATTCCTATGCACAGGTCAGCGATTGATCATGAATATCCGCCCACTTTTTGATGGAGCTGTTATTGAGCCCTGCTTGCTTCATGGTGATCTCTGGAGCGGAAACATAAGCTCTGATAGCAATGGGGATCCTGTAATATTGGATCCTGCTTGCTACTGTAAGTAAAATTGACTGATTTTAGCATTCAAATTCAGGATCATGAGTAGTGGTTGCAAAAGGATGAATTTACTTGATTCTTTCAAGTAATTTTCATCAAAGGTATTCTATTTTAAATATTCTGTTGCTGAAGTTCCCACAATGTGTTGCATAAGTTACAAGCAAACAATTTACAAAGACATGATTACCGGTTCTTCAACTGCAGATGGACACAACGAGGCAGAGTTTGGGATGTCCTGGTGTGCTGGATTTGGTGGGGACTTCTATAATGCCTATTTTCAGGTACCCATTGATTTTTGCTGAAGATTTGGTTGGAGCACCGCCTAGGGCACACGTGCAAACAGATAATAGGCATACTTAACAAACTACCGTCCGAGGTTAATGGTTACGGGTCAGATTTGTTTTGTGGAGTTACCTTTTGTTGGCCTATAAAGTCCCAGACCTGAAAACTCTAGCAGGAAGGTTCCTTTGGTAAAGAATGGTGTCAACAACATAGTTATTGTCTTACACCATCGAATAAGGCGGTCCAAGTGTTGGCGTGGAAATTGCTTACTTGTTTTGTAGGCAATATCTTTCGAGCACTGCCACAAAATAGAGTTACCACCTCCAGCTTTGCTTCCTGAGTGCTTGTCTTTCTCTAGTCCTAAAATTCCAAGCCTTGTGGTCGGTGGATTACTCAATTCTTCACTATTTTGATGGAGACATTAACAGTACTTTTACTCTTACTCTAATACAGGTGATGCCGAAACAGCAAGGGTTTGAGAAGAGGAGGGACCTCTACCTCCTCTACCACTACCTGAATCACTACAATCTTTTTGGCTCCGGGTACCGTTCATCAGCTATGTCCATAATCGAAGACTACTTATATGTGCTGGCGGCTTAGTTTCTTCTGTTTATTCTCACATGGAAATAGAAGCAACGATGTACCTGTGCATAATATGTTCCACAGTTATCCCTCTCGGTATGCTGTGGATTCGCTGCCTGTAAAATCTGTTAGCTCTTTGCGTGCATAATCACATGCTCCACCACTATATCAGTCACTGAAAAAATCTTCATATGTGTAAATAAACTAGGTAGCGTGCTCGTACGTTGCTACGTAACAACTAAACTTTTGTACTAAAAACACACGAATCGCATGATAAGATAACAATACTGTAAAATTAAATACGACCGTTAAAGTGACATTTAATTCAGAAAATAAAGTTCGTAAAATTAATACAGAGCGCGGCGTCGCAGACTCACCAACTCTACTGATTTATCTCAACTCTGATTTTTTTATGCCTACAGGCTACAGCAAATGAAACTATACACCAGCGTAAAGTACCAAGAAAAATAGAGCCTTGAGAGACCCGCTTGTGATTGTGTGACACTGAGATTGCATACAAACAGGCGTGCAGACTACTTGTGCATGATAATCTGACTTCCAAGAGCAGCAGCGGTGGTAGCTGTAACTCTGCATACATAAAAGTAAAGGGATAATGAGTTAATAACGTTGCTTGTTCAAAAATGGCTTGCAAAATCTCAATGTTATATGTATACATCGGCACATCAGTAGGGCTCACAGAGTTGCAAAGACATGTCCCATTAAGTAACAACGTTTGACCATGCATGATAACAATTCATGAACGAAAAAAAAATCAGAAGATCGATCAAACTATCATTTCAGTCCTGTCTAATCTATACTATATATAATCAGTACCAAATTTTTTTGGGTATAAATAGCAGCAGCCTAGTTTGAAGAGGACAAACTCAGGTCATGCACAGTACCATAAACAGACTTATGAAAACTATGGAGTATCTATGAAACAGTGCACGGCGACATCACCTAATCACCTGAATCGGATTGACTGCTTCAAAAATCACTGTGAGTGCTGGTCACCTAATGCCAATGCCGTACAAGAGATGCAGCATGAGACAAAGAAGAGAAGAACCTGCATAGAACATACATTGAAATCAGAATGCCAGTAACTATTTTCATCCTCCCTAGTGGATTTCTAGGTTGTACATTATTTATTTATTTTGAAACATATCATTTCATTAAGAAGATTGCAAAAAAAAACGAACGCAACCTATTTATGATATGGGCTGTAAAGATATCCCTAGTGATTTAACATTCCAAAATATCATCATCAGCAGTCAAGTACCCAGCATATATAGTAGATCAGTTCTAAATTGCTCTTAGGTGCTGCCATGCAAATCAGAGATTTGTAAAGAGCTAAACTGCGACCACTTATGACCAGTAAGCTAATCATATACATATCATATATTAATCAAAGTATTAGTGCGTTCTCATGATTGCAACCAAACCATTTTTTCTTTAACAACTGCAAGATAGTGTTATGTTCATTATCAGGTAGCGAGCTAGTAACCACAAGGCATGAGAATAGATGAATCACCTTTGCTAGTGATGAGATGGAGTTGTCGACGTACTTGTATTAGGATTTGGCATAAAATTATTTAGTATCTGCACTTGTACAATGGACTTAATTTTACAAATAAACTAAGCGCATGGGAAGAGATGAATCACCTTTGCTATGGCTGAGATGGAGTCGATGGCGTACTTGTATCAGCTCCAAACACTGGAGGTGGCAGAAAATTATTTAGTATCTGTATTTGTACAGTGGACTTAATTCTACGAGTAAACAAAGCTCATTCTGAATAAACATAGATATATTTATCCCGACAATACTTGCAGAATGGATCATCAATACAAGTTTAACTAAACCAAAATAAATTATCTTGATAACTTGTTGCAATTTATTACTAAACCAAAGGATAACACAGACTACTTATGGTATACAAAGGATTGGAAAACACCGATTCAGGTCTAAAAAGGGTTTAAAAAAACATTCTATTCAGCTCTAAACTGATTCAAATTTTGATGGAATTTCTGAATGTTGATTTGTGGACCTCCCTGGTGGGCTAGAGATGTTAAGGATAGTAAACTACAGAGGCAGTAAGGTACCAACATGAGTGAAAGATCTTAGTTTGTTTCAGCAATACTTGACTGAGCTCCATCTAGTTGGTTGTACAATGTGTGAGGAATTTCCTGATTTTTTCTCATTTCAGGGCTCTTCAGGTTCTTCACTTGATTAGGCTGTATAAATTGCAGCCCTCATGTCAACTACTTCTATTTCATTATCAGGAATTTTAGAACACATAGCCATGGTCAAAGCTAACTTAAACAGGAGCATGTGGGAGCAAGGTAACTACACCATAATCAAAGTCGTTGCCGCATGTCTAAAAAATTTCTCCAACCCAGATTTGATGCTACAAAAATATGAAACTACAGATATCTTTAATCAAGTCTGTTATACATTCAAGTCTACAAATATCTTTTATTTGCAAGGTACTGATTCAGTTTAGATTAAATAATGACTGTGTTCAGGTAAAATGAATGAACAATTGACTGATTTGATTTGAGGAAAAAGTTCAGATAAGGTATTTGTGGTGAGCTCTGTGGACTGATGTTTTAGTTCTTTCTCTTTGACGAAGGTAGCATGTCTACAGCAATACACATGTCAAAATTGTCGGCAATGGAATGCAATAATGAATAACAAATTATCAAGCATGGATATTCCCTACTTGACTTCCCTTCTTCCACCTGGATACTCTCGCTAAGAGACCTCCAGAGAAGAAGTTTGAATGGGTAAGTATAGACTGTAGACTTCAGTATTCATTTGTGCTGGATAGCCAAACAGCCAAGAAGCAAGGCAAATAGCCAGCTCGTGATGCATGGCAAATAGCCAAGAAGAAAATGGAAGAATGGTGACCTACTGCCAGCTAAAAGCTCTGTTAGATCACTAAAACACAGTAAGTCGCTACAAGTGTGCAGCTGCTAGCTTTGGGTGCTGATGTCCAATAATAGCTCAAATATTTTCACGTTTCTTAATAAACTATGTCACAGAACAGTCTATATCATCCATGAAATCATATCAAGCTACAACAAACTTTTATTTTGAGATGAGTCTTGAATCAAACTGAAATCGGTATCCTCCTATCTTTTACCAAACTGTAATCGGTGGTAAAGTTATCTTTTACCATTGACTCGTTAAAATTTCAACCGAAATATAATTGGTCCCAAAAATTAAAGTTCCTCAAAACCATTGACTGTTTCCTTGTGCTCTGCATTTACATAATTATAAACTGAAATGCCTTCTAAATTATTGGCCCTGAACATGGATTTATGGATTATTGCAAAGTACTGCTTCAGGAATCGAAGCAAAGTAGTCCTGGTCAAGATCAATTAATAAGGCAATGATTTATGGAGGTGAGGTTATTGAAAATTTTCTGTTTTTGTTTCGATTAACCATAGTCAATTTGGTTCAAAACTTTCCAGTTTGTTATTAAAATTACACGTAAAAATTGGTTTTCTTTTGGTAAGCACTCAACACTACTTGAGTGAATTATGATCTGAAATTTAAAGCACGACACAAGCTCTTTTACTACAGTATAGTATGACAGATGCATTTCATGCTAACCAAATTTCGCAGTTTCTAATACCTTCAAGATAATAAGCATAGTTATTAGCTAGGTGCACTGCATGGTCAATGGAAACCAAATGCACAATAATTGAAACTGAATGTCCAGGTCTAAAATGCCAATAGTATGCATGGCCATTCTAAATTTACCGGTTATCTCAAGTACTAAATTACAGCATATATCTTTAAAAACTATCAGCAATTGCATCCACACTCAATACTAAACAATCAGTTTCAATCAAGACATATATCTCACCGGCCTCTTTAAATTACAACATATATCTCTAAATATTTGTATGCAAATCAACTTCATGTTTCCCAGACATGTCAATTGCATCCACACTCAATACTAAACAATCAAGACACAGAGACAGATATATCAAAAAAAATAAAAGACTTGTCACAAAATACTAATGGGTGAATTACTGAACTTAAAAACTGACCTTCACATGGCAAAGAAGGAAATGACATATTGATATGAATTGGTGGAGTTTCTCCTCGTTTTAGATCTACAGACATCTGCAGACAGTATCAACTGGTGAAGGGTTCATGATACAGATGTTGGGAAGGATAAGCTTAATGAAAAGAAAATGACTTCGGCATAATCTTATCAATGATAACTGCAGACAGTATCAACTGACGAAGGGTTCATGATACAGATGTTGGGAAGGATAAGCTCAATGAAAAGAAAATGACTTTGTCATAATCTCATCAATGATAATTAACAGAAACTACAACATCAGAAAACACATGGGTAGTTGAACAATGAAATTGATTTATAATAATGTTTCAAATCAAATAAATGAATTGCCATCAAAATAATTCTTTGATCAGGTTGCTGGTTGATGCTTGAACTCAGCCCCCACATGCCAACCAGAATTATCTCGAAAAAGAAATGGAAGCATTTACTTTGGATAAGGCCCTATTTTCTACAGGCATATTCACAGTGCCTTGGAAAAAAAACTAAAAGATATTGAATTTTAAGGGGGACAAAAGTCTCTGTGAATATTACATCGAAAAGTTGCATATAGCAGTCAAACATGAAAAATATAAGCTGTGACCAATCATACCTGATGCACGGTGTAGGTGGTAAGATAAAACTGCAGCTCATGCATGAACAGTGTAATCATTATAAGTAGCCCAAGAATTGTCACTGCCAAGATATCGATGATGTGCAAATTAAAGACAAACCTCGAAACCATATACTTAAGCAATCATTTGCAACAATTACAGAACAATAGGGTCCCCATAGATCATACCAACAGCGCCAGAGTAAGTCTTCTTCAACAAGTGCTCCTCCGCATGTGGAAACGCATTGAGCCTCTTCAGAGACGATATCCTCGCTATCTTTCAGCTGCCATAGAACTAGGGGAGGATCGAGTAAACGGCATGGGTGTAAGCATGCACACCCGATAATTTTGCAAAAGAATTGAAGTTAGTAGGCATAATACAAGCATGTGCGCTTGTGATCAGATAAGATCCGAACACAAATAGTAAGTTAGGGTTTGGGTGCTCGATTTTGCACAGCGGGAAGGGAAGACCCAGGGGCGGACGTACAGGGTGCTCGTCATGGTGAAGGGCCCCACGAAGACACAGGCACTGGCGCTTGGCGGCAGCGGCGACAGTCGCCCACCGTCCACCAAGAGAGAGGAGAAAGCGCATGTTGGGGCTATGGAAGAAGGAAAGGCAGGGTTGCAGCAGACAGGTCACAGGTACACCGAGGTCACGGCCGGAGGCTTCAGCAGACTTTATTACAAAAGCACCGTGAGATCAAATGGAGCCCAAACAAAGCTTCGAAGCTGCCTCTATATCATGAGATCAAATTAGCAGGTAGCCAGGGGGTCCCTAGAAACAAGCGGTACCTGGCGGTGCTCCCAGTCCCAGACGGAGACGCGGTCGTTGGCGTCGGCGGTGACGAGCCAGGGGTGAGTGGGGTGGAGCTGGTCTTCACAACTTTGTCGGTCGTCGGTTGGAACGCCCATGGGCGAGAGCATCTCGCCGTGGCCGCCAGCGTCTTCTGGGCGGGGTTGTCGCGCAGCGAGAGGAAGGCGGGGGGGGGGGCGAGAGATCTGGAGTCAGAGGGGAGGTAGCAGTGATGTTGTGCAGGGCTCGCGTTGCGGGTGGTGGTGGCAGGTCGGGGAGATCTGAGTCGCGAGGGGACGGGCGTAGGAGCATCGACTCACGGGGAAGAGGTCCCACCTGCCGGCGCATGGATTCACGGGGAGGAGCGTCGTATCCCCGACGGCAGACCCAAATTAAATGTTGCACCAAAAAATGTCAACGCTTTGTTTTTTTTAGTTGTAGAAGATATCTCACTGCGGGTCCATTTGGACACGTTTTGTGCCTCAGAAGGATAATAATGTATTTTCTGGTCCCAGTAGTCTGCCGGTGTGGTGGAGAATCATGATTCGGTCCCAGGAAGAACTAGTCAACGTATTAGTGATCCTCTGACACATCCTCCTAAACTACACCACCCCAGTCAGGCAGTCAGCTGGAACAACACCGGGCGGCGGATATATGCTTGCGACCTGGATATTCTTAACAACGTTAGTGAAAAAGCCATGTCCCTGTCCGCGCACTAAGACATTCTTAACCACCAGTGACCACCTAATGTGGCGGCCTCCCATTCGACCCCTGCCGAAAGGCTTCAAAAGTATAGTCTTTTGTCGCTCCCTGTGCTCCTCAGCTAATCCTTAGCGATGCAAGCAACTCAGACGCGTCGTCCCAAGTTTTTCCACCACCTACTCCGTCGTTTTTAAACCCTCGCGCTCCTGGAATCGCAATGGCCGTGGTCGTAGCCGTAGCATCCGAAAACTGGCATTGCTCGCTTGCATTTCCTGCACGTTTTTGCTGCCGGAAAGCCCTGGTGTCGCCGGCGAAGAACAGTGTGTCCGGCGCAGATGGAGCGGGAGCAGGAGCAGGTGCAGGAGGCGGGCACAGCACAGCAACTGCTCGGGAGGCGCGTGCGCGCGGACACGCGGCACCCGGTGTACCGCGGCATCCGGTACCGCGGGGGCAAGTGGGTGTCGGAGATCCGGGAGCCGCGCAAGTCCAACAGGATCTGGCTGGGCACGTACCCGGCGCCGGAGATGGCGGCCGCCGCGTACGACGCGGCCGCATTGGCGCTGCGGGGCGCCGACGCCGCGCTCAACTTCCCCGGCGCGGCCCTGTCGCGGCCCGCGCCGGAGTCGTGCTCCCCCGACGACATCCGCGCGGCAGCCGCCGCTGCCGCCGCGGTGATCGCCCGTTCCCACTCGCCCCAGGCGGGCGTAGCTGCTGCTGAGAGCGCGTCGTCGTCCGGTGCCGGTGCACCGGGCCCGCCGCCGGAGCACCGAGCGGGCGACAGGCGTATCGTGGACGAGGACGACGTGTTCCAGGTGCCCCGGCTGCTGGCGGGCTTGGCCGAGGGGCTGATGATGAGCCCACCGATTCTCGTCGGCACCGTGTCGCCGGAGGAGGACGGCAGCGAGGACGGCGTGGTGAGCCTGTGGGATCACTCGTGAACTCAACCATGCATGCATTGCATCCTGACGTGGACGTGAGCGTCAACGTACAGATGATGTCCTTTGCTTATAGATGGCCAACGGTGCCAGCACGGCCCGATAGCCAACGGGCCGGCACGGCACGCCGTGCCTCCCGGGCCATGCCTCACAGGGCCACGGGCCTGGTCTCCGGCCTAGGCACGGCACTATGGGCCGATTTCCGTGCCGGGCCGGCCCGCGAAGCACGACCAATTTCATAGGCCGTGCGAGCCCGAGGCCCACTGGTTGCCGACAGAGAGAGTCAGAGAAAGAGGGGAAGGGGGTCGATGCCGCTCGCCGCCGAGGAGATCGACGCCGGATCCGGAGGAGTCCAGCGCGCTCGCCACCGAGGAGGCTGACGCCCTCGAAGATGGATCCGGAGGAGCCGCTCGAGGCCAGCCACCACGCTCGTCGTCCCTGGATCCGGTCGCGCCCGCCCTCGATCCGCCACCGGGGACGCCACCACCCTAGATCCGCCGCCGGAGGCCAAGCACGTCCTGGATCCGCCGCTAGGGGATGCCACCACCCTTGATCCGCTGCCGGAGGATGGGCATGCCCTGCATCCGCCACCGGTGAGCGCGCCCACCCTAGATTCACCGCCGGGGAGTGCCACACGCCTCCTCGCGCGTGGATCTCGTCGTCCTCTGCCTCCTCGCACTGGATCTCCGACACCGGCTTTGCTGCACTGCATGCACATAACAGATGCACTTGTGGATCAGGATTAGCTAGCGCCTTGTTTAGCTCGGCCGGAATCGGCATTTGCACATTGTTTGATGTGACGGCAAACACTGTAGTAATTTCGTTTGTATTTGTGAATTCTTGTCCAAACATTGACTAATTAGGCTCAAAAGATTCGTCTCGCAAAGTTCAACCAAACTGTGTAATTAGTTTTTGATTTCATCTACATTTAGTACTCCATATATGTACCGCAAGTTTGATGTGACGGGGAATCTTCTTTTTGCATAGTGCCAAAGCTAGGAGCTTAGGCCTTGTTTAGATTGTAAGTTTTTTCACTCTCTCTCCATCACATCAAATCTTTGGACACGTGCATGGAGTATTAAATGTAGATAAAAAAAACTAATTACACAGTTTGATTGTAAATTACGAGATAAATCTTTTGAGCCTAGTTAGGCTATGATTGGACAATAATTATTAAATACAAACGAAAGTGCTACAGTATCGAATACTGATTTCTAATCCCAATCTAAACAAGGGCTTAGGAGGAACTAAACACCGAACACCGCCTAGGTAGCCGTGGCCAAGTTACGGCGGAGTTGATGCTGCTGATACTCTGCCACCAGATCGCTGAACACATGCATCTGTAACTCCAGTACCGGTCCGCACTCGTCTCCCGTACCCGGGCTCTGCCCACTTCGCTGGAGATCAGAGGCTCCAAGCAGGGCAGAGCAGAGAGCATGGACGAGGCGTGTCCCAGATGTATAAATTCTGCAGTACAGGCACAGCCGTGCAGTGCAGCTAACATAGGAGTAACTCCTCAATCCTATCTCTACTACTATAGGAGTACCAGTGCACTGGTACGTTGCATTGCAAGATCTGACCCCCATCGCATCGGCCAACATGTAACGTGCTCAAATCTGTACCAAAAGTTCATCGCCATCATCGGCCAGCATGCATGTAACGTCCTCTCTGTGTTTTCATGTGGCACTCTCCAAACGCAATTGTACAGTACAGGGCAGCAGAAAGCCTCTCACGTCTCGCCACACTCCGTTTGTGTACGACTGTACTCTGTACGTTGTGTGGCTGCTGGCCGATAGATTTCAACCGGAGCAGGGCGTGGCGGTGTACTCGAGGCGTAGGGAACGGAATGCCATATTGCCATGCCCGAAACGGCATGCATCCGGTCCCTCGGCTCGGCTCGATGGATTGGCTAGTTTATCGCCTGCAACCGTATGCCATCATGCATGGCGCGCCACCAATGAGCAATGACTAGCTAGCGCTCTAGCAGTACGCGGGAACAGCAACCGTCACGTACGTACCTGTTCGACACGAGGCGCTGCTGTTGGCAGGGCACGTCGTCGGTGCTAGCGTGCGTGGCGCGGCCACCGCTCGCCCGCCCTCGTATTTAGGTTCTCTGCTGATGTCATGTCAAGGCGCGGGCGGTGTGCCGGCCTGCCGAGCGGGAACTACGTGTCGGGGCGACGACGGAGCCGGTTTCTTCCGCCACTTTGGACGGCTCTGCCGATTCCGCGTCGCTACTCGCTGCACAAAAGCAGGTCGCATTTCTAGCCCCGCCGCTGCTCGGTACGCTTCGGTCCACCGTCAGAATGTGACATGAGCTATCACGTAGCAGGAGCAGAGGCCCGTTACGTGCTGTAGTTTACTGTGGCAGGCACACCCACACTGACACCTCCCGGGGTGGGAATAATCCAGATATTTTTGGTGGGATATCCATATCTTGAGTTGGATATATAAATACGAATCCGAACGTTCTCAAATACGAGTGCAGAACAAGTAGTTTAATTTCGAATTTACATTCTTATCTATACTCTATATATGTTGTTTTGCATGTTTTTTCACTTCCTACCGCGCTCTCACGTCATTCATGTCTTGTACGTGAGGCGCACTCACGATCTGTTCTCAGACGAGTTAAAATAACTCGCGTACAACAACAATGGCACAAGGCCCGATTCCAAAACATGTCAAGTAAAGGTATGAAATTATATTCCAAAACGTTGAAACCTATCACGATTGTTGAATAAATCTCTAAACTACAAAATTGTCTAGGTGTATGCAACAAATTATGTTTCATTGTAACACGCGAGCACGTTTAAAAGTACTCCCTCCGTCCCAGACTAAGTGTCCATCTCACGTATCGAGAAGTCAACTACTTTTTAAGTTTGACTGAATGAAAAAAATAGCATATTTATAACCATTTATATGTTTACTATGAAAATATATGGCGATCTAATGATACAATAATATTATAAATATTAATAATTTTTTACAAGATTTGAGACTACTGTGTATTTCTACAACTTGATCCTACGGTTTAACTGTTCTAGTGGACATCATGGATGGCGACTCTAGGGACCTTCCTACGACCCTCGAGTTAGTGCTACGATGGTCGAGTTAACGACACGTGGTACTTTTTTTATGCAACGATACGTGGTACTAGCTTGATGGCCGAGGAACTCCTTGCAGGTCTGGGAGGAGGTACCAACAAGGTATATCCTCTCTCTCCTCCATCATTCAATTTATTTGTTGTCGTTCATATCGTGCCCTATCGTGTAAGAAACTTATGGCATCTGGCGTCAAGCGGAGCTCCGTCGATTGTGCGCTTCGATTTGGCTCGTAGTTAGCTGCTACAAGTTGTTGCGCTCAAGGGGGGAGGAATACAACTTTGGCGCAGGCCTGGAGCACATCGTACTCCACGCGACGGCGCAACAGTGACTGCTAAGGAAAATATCCATGGGATGAGCCCCATGCGATCCGATTAACTACTCAAGAGTGAAAATACTTTTTTTTTACAAATTACATATTTTTTTGTACACATATGATGGGTGCAGAAAATGTAGGGCTAAGCGGGTCCATATTAGCGAATACGAATTTAGATGATTGGGTATTCATTTCTTTCTATTTATTTAATCCTAAAACAAATGAGAGGATTTTGGCTGGGGGCACGAGCGATGATGACAACTGCACTGCACAGCGATATTGTTGCATTTGGACGATGGCGATGAGTTGGTGGAGGAAACAATAATTATAATGCAAATTATAGCTTTGTCTCTTGTGTTTCTATCTAGTTCAAATTTTAAACAATCAATTACAATACAAACTATAGCTTAGTGTGTCTTGAGTTTATGTCCATATTAACAATCTTAAGTAGTTGGCAAGATTGTTAATTCACTAGTGGCCCAACAATGCAAATAAAGAAATCAGCAAGGTACTTACAAATTCTTTTTGATCTAGCAAAGGTAATTCTACCTGGGGCTAAATGCTAACGATAGGAGGAGAAGTTTCTTAACCTGGAACAAGTTTGTAAGAGGCGATGACCAGTGACCCGTATAGATCTGCACAAGATGGCTATTGTGGTAGCGTGTTAAAACCGTAGTCGCCCTTGAGCACAAGCAAGAAAACACAATGTGGGTAGTGTGAGTTTTTTTCTTTCTTTCTGACCATGTGTCATCCTCATGACCCGTATATGCACCCACTTGCCATACTGGGATTAGCAACTAGAGAGATGATGTGCCTAAATGTACCTTACCGTCAAGTTCATGTAGTAATTGTGCATCTGACCTATTTTAGGGAGTTTTTATATTTGATGTGCTTGAATTTGTAGGAATTTTCAGGCAATAATCTTACAAATCAACTAGTATAATTAAAAGGGTAACTTATAAGAGACCATTCATCTTTTTTTCAAACACTGATAAAATTATATGTTGCTTGAACAACAGCAAAAAAAAATATCAGACATTTGAGATATGCCAGAAGTGTTTTCTCAGAACTAGCACTTTTTTTTTGAACCTAGCATGCAGACGGAGTAACGGCGTGGCCAGCTATGTGCAGCACTGAATAAAAATATCCATGGGATGAGCCCCATGCGATCTGATTAACTACTTTAGAGAGAAAATATTTTTTTACAAAATACATAAATTTTTTTACACATATGACGGGTGCAGAAATTGTAGGAATAAGCTCCCAGTCGGCACCCACACGCCGATAGGCAAAATTTAGCGGTTGATGTATTTACCAGGGGAACAACTCAATTGGTATCTACCGGCAATTCAATAGCCGACAGGTGCGCTCGGCGATGGAGACAGCTCAATTCTCCTGTCGGCTATTGTATCTCGGATAGCCGATAGGGCGTGGCAATTACCGAGTCGCTATGGCGATGATCTCGACATGGTCGTGCCGCCACACGCCGACGCACGAGGCCATCGGATAGCCGATAGGGCATGGTGCGGTTACCCAGGTCGTTGGCGATGATCTCGACACGGGCGTGTTGCCACATGTCGACGCAG